TGAAAATCGGCATTCAGGGTTCATATTTCTGTAGCCAAGTAAGACGCGTTACTCCGTTACACGTTACACCATTTTATTAGGTTAAATTAGTTATTTCGCTTTCTCAATTTAATCTTCTACCGTCACGAATTTGTAGAGTGTATTTAATGTCAACCGGTATTAATTAAAATGAGGATTTAATGTCTTTATAAAGTTTTTAGCGATTCCCAAAATCTTTACTAGTTAACTTCCATCAAGAGATTCGCCAAGGGTCATCATTGATTTATTACCTAATTATATTCTGGAATTCTTATTGGTTTTAGTTATTTCTATCGCCATGGATAATATATATATATATAAGTAATTGGCCAGAATAGTGAGACATATAGTAATTCTACCTGGCTTTTTCTCTCACAAGAGAAAATTATTATTACGCTATTCATAGATGATTTGAATTATTATCAAATATCCGAAAAAAACACATGCATCTATGAAATTTTTTTTTTCTAATCTGATTTTACGTGTAACCTGGTGATTAATGTTTTTATCACTTTATAAGTAAAGTATAGTGTTACATTTTTTTCTAGTAAAACATATTTGTTCATTAAATTAATCACACAATTAACGTAGTATTTTAATTTTCAGAATTGTTTTAAAGGTAGTTGGAAAATGCATAAAGTTATCCATCAATTAGCAAGTAAGTATCTTGTGTGCATATGGTTTATTAACTCTACGATTTCTTGTCATTAAGTGTAATACATTGTACACATTTATATAATTAGAGGGAGAAAACGGAAATAAAATTTCTGATACTTATAATCCTTGGCCTACTTACAATTATACTGGAAAATTACGGCCATACAAAAAAGAACAACATAGAAAAGTTCCCGAAAGTATCGCTCGACCAGATTATGCCTTACATCCAGCTGGAATACCACTCAGTGAGCAAGCTGTAAAAGGTTCTGGCCAAATAAAAATTCTTGATGATGAAGAAGTCGAAGGCATGAGAGTTGCATGCAAGGTATAGTATATATGTACTCACTGTGCTCGAATAACATAAATGCGGCATAGAGAGAGAGAGAGAGAGAGAGAGAGAGAGAGAGAGAGAGAGAGAGAGAGAGGGGGGGGGGAGGGAAGGAGTAAATTGTTGAGATTCTCATAGATTCTCAATTTTCTTTTTTTGTTTTTAACATATTCCAAATTAAATTTTACATAGCTTGGTCGAGAAGTCTTGGATGAAGCTGCAAAGACTTGTAGCGTTGGTGTTACAACGTCTGAAATTGATAGAGTGGTGCATGAAGCTTGTATTGAAAGAGATTGTTATCCATCGCCATTAAATTATTATCAGTTTCCTGCCAGCTGTTGTACTTCTGTCAATGAAGTAATTTGCCATGGTATACCTGATACCAGACCTTTACAAGATGGCGATATTTGTAATGGTAAATAATTTGTAAATATTAATCGTATCATAATATCACTGCCACAGACCTGGAAAATCTGAAAAAGTCGGGGAAAAAATATAAAAAAGCTTGGAATTTTTAACTTTTCCCACAGTTCTCTTAAATAAGAGCATTTAAGAGTTATTTTAAAGAGAGTATTTATAATTTTTTAAATATATCTAGCTTTTATAATCAAAATATGGGAAAACTGTACACACTTCATAAATTATTTTTTACGTATTACTATAAAGGGGCACTTTTGAAATGCTCTCGTGTTCATTTTTTGTTCGTAACACCGTTTTTCTATTATAAAACTCGGAAGTTTTTACTATTGTCCCTTTTTATTGCACAGCAAACACAAAAGTTTCCAGGTACTGTGTGCAGAAACTCCTCTATTTTTTGTTTTTCCACTACTACTTTTTGCTAGCGTGTTTAGATCAATGTCAAATTATTTATACTTATTAGCATCAGTACTGTTAAATTGTTTCAACAATAAATTAACTACTAATGGGACTCTCCAAATTCAAACATTATAAGCATACATAAAAGCAAGTGAAAATAAATAACTGTAGAGATTCTTGAGGCTTCCACGGGTGTTTTCTGTATAAAGGTTATGCGTTTCGCGGGTTTCCTCCGTGTCCAGATCCATTCTTGAGATGCCAACGTTTCGTGAACCTTGCAATCCGCTTCAACAGGGCAAGGGGCAGTTTGATACTGAGCTGTTCCTCCAGGCCATTCCTTTTTATATTACGCTGCTTGTTGGGGTGATGGAATAGCTCAGTATCAGGCTGCCCCTCGCCCTGATGAAGTGGACTGCAAGGTTCACGAAACGTTGGCATCTCAAGAATGGATCTGGACACGGAGGAAACCCGCGAAACGTATAACCTTTATAACTGTAGAGATTAGTTAATTATAGAATTATAATTATAAAGTGTAAAGTACATTTACAATTTCGTTACATTTTATAATTGTGTGGCGCAATATTCGATCAAACGTTTCGGCTAATTTAAATTTTAGTAAATAATCATTATCGTTTCTTATAATGATCTGGAATTTAGATTGGAAACTAATAAACGGTCATACTCCTCAAACTGTAGTAATAATAGAAGAGACGTTACCCGTCTCTACATTTGAGGAATTGATTTTGCTTTGAACATGAAGTTTCTAAACCTTTTACTTTTTTGAATACATGTACCACTGACGATGGCTGGAAATTAGTCCGTCGAAAGATCCGATTGAATGTTACATCACAAGTATAACGAAATTGTAATTGCACTTTACATTTTATTAATTTTATAATTACAGCGCACAGTTATTTACTCTCGCTTGCTCTTATGTATCTTTTTTTCTTTTTTTAAATCGCGTTGTTTAATTTGTAAAGTACATATTTTACAGCTTCAATTTAAGGCTATGTACAAGACCGACAAATAATCGGTGCACAGTTTACTTGAATTGAAAATCGTAAAATTCACACAAAAATATTATTGGGATATACTAAGACCGCCTTGATTGAACAATATGGCCCTCTTTTTGTGTGGCACTTATCTGTGTTGAAGATTTCTCGATTCATTTTCTTGTTAATGTTGTTAAAAAAGTTTCAGATTACATATTTGATATTGGTCATGGAAAATTTTATCTGGAAAACCTTCAAAAGTCCGGGAATTTCAAAATTCATTTTCTGTGACAAACCTGATCATAAGAAAAGTGTCTCTCTTTTAAACATATCAAAGATATCACCTAATTATTGCTTTTTTCCAGTTGATGTTACCGTATATCACAATGGTTTTCACGGAGATTTGAATGAAACCTTTTTGGTGGGTAATGTAAAACCGGAAATAAAAAAATTGGTAGAAGTGACGTATGAATGCTTGTCTAAAGCTATTGATATTGTGAAACCTGGTGAAAAATACAGAGAGATTGGTAATGTCATACAAAAGCATGCACAAGCGCATGGTTTCAGTGTGGTTCGTAGCTATTGTGGTCATGGAATCCATCGTTTATTTCATACCGCGCCAAATGTACCACATTATGCTAGTAAGTAGTTTCCCCAAAATAAAGTTAAATGTGTCCTTTCGATCAAAAAGTCATATAAACTTTATTATCTAGAAAATAAAGCAATAGGTGTCATGAAACCCGGGCACTGCTTCACAATCGAGCCAATGATATCCCAAGGCACATGGAAGGACGAAACATGGCCTGATAATTGGACTGCTGTTACACTGGATGGCCAATGGTCAGCGCAATTTGAGCATACGCTTCTAGTAACGGAGACTGGTTGTGATATTCTTACGAAACGGTTTGCAAATGACGGTAGGCCATGGTTTAGAGATCACTTGTAGTAGTGTTTTCTCTTCTTTATTTTCTTATAACATTTAAAGCAAAACTCGAGCAATCGATAAGAATCTAATGTAAGTTGTCTTGTATATTTTACTAAGTACACTAACTTTCTGTTTTTGCAAATGTATAGTAATAAAAAAATACATAAAAAACAATATAATTATCCTTCCAATCCTGCGTAGGGGCATTTGTTATATATATATATATATATATATATATTTGCCAGTTGATGACAATTTTGAATACTAAATTCTAAATTCATTGAGTTCTCACAGGCGAGAAAAAGTTAAAGTTTAAAAACATGCATTTAATAAACTAATAATTTGTACTCCAGAGTGAAGTATATCAGTTGTATATATCGAAATTGTTATTGATTTAGCCATTACACATATGTAACATATATGTTGCATACATATATGCCCTTGCTAAACAATGATGTGCGAACATTCAGGGCAACATGAGTATAATTTCGTTTTCACTGCTTGTTTATCAACGAGATAATAGACACATGTCGTAACATGTACATACACACATCTTCTAATACAGGCGCACGGAATAAATAACTTTAAATAAATTATTAATTTACAACTTTTATATATATATATATATATATATATATATATTATATATATATAATATCTATCTATTGATCCTATCAGTTTGACCTTGGGTTGCATAGCCAAGGTCAGGTCAAGGTTACATTGATTTTCTTAAATGGAACACCCTATTTTTGATT